TGTCTCTAGCAAGCCCCAGCCACCACATCCACCTCAGGTCAACCCATGATGCTCACAAGGTCAAGGGCAAGCTTGTTCCACATGAAGAGGAGAACCATCATTCCAGGTGTGACAGGGCTCCGTAACCTTGGCAACACATGCTACATCAATTCCATTCTACAATCTCTGGGGTAAGACTTGCTGATATTCAGATCAGTTTGGATATCTCTGTCTTTGTCCTTGCCACTTCAATTTTCCTAGCAAAACAACTGCAGTGGTGAACAGATTTTTATAGTACTCACACTTTTGTCAATAATTACAAAATGGTTTATGGGTTTATATTCTTTCTTTGATTCATATCTCACTGGCTGTTGATTGGCTCACACAACAAACCATACAAGGGAAGACAAATTCAACTGATGCTGACCTCGGTAGCGGTGGGCTTGGAATAGCAAATGTCTGTCGTAGAGTTTACAGGTTGCAGGTTTGGTTCTAAACATGCAGATGTACATTTAAGGATGACAGCCATGTTGCCAGCCTCTAATACAGATGCCTTTCTTTTTGACAGCCATGTTGCCAGCCTCTAATACAGACGTCATTCTTTTTGACAGCCATGTTGCCAGCATCTAATACAGATGCAATTCTTTTCTTTGTGCAGGCACCTGGAGGACTTCAGGGAATATTTTTGCCAGTTGGTATTTGGTCTGTTTTCCCCAAGTGGCACCCCGCTCCCTGGTTCATCCCCTTCGAACCTTTCACCTCTGGCAGCCAGAAATCTCCTCAGACTCAACACAATTGATTACTTCCAGGTAGGTGTGGCATTAAAGTGTGGCACAGAAACTAGATCTTGCTTAGCACAGACTTTAAGGGATCATCATTTAATGGTCTGTTTATTATGGTCTCTTGTCAAGGCATTCTTCATTTTGTGGACTGTGTACCTAACCTGAGCCATTTCATCACATTTGTTCACCTTTCAAGTTATCAAACCCATCTTTTTTTTTTCCTGTTGATTTGCTCTTGCTAGCATTTGAACTACCAGCCATCCTCGGAGCTATTCACCCATCCCACCATTCCACCTGTACCGACAATAAAACCTGTGAAGCCAAGCGGCGGTTTAAATGGTGGGGGGAGTGGGGAAAACACGGAGGGAATGGAAGAAATGAGTTCAGATCCTGTCATCAAGGCCAAGGCAGATACACTGAAAACCTTGTGAGTACCAGAATGGATGATACCTAAGTATGTCTGATGTAATGGCAGATTCTTTGAGGGCATGTGCTAGCTTTCATTCTTAATTTTGTTTCTTAAAATTAGTTCGAAGAAGTAAATTGATAAATTATAGACGAGCGAAAAAATGGAACATCTTAAATAATTTTAAAATATTTTCTTTGACAATTTACACTAAAATATCTGAGTTATGAATGCCATTGCCAAAGTTGACTATTTGTAATGTGTGCTATCCTCATCACAATAACACAATTTCTCCATTTGGCTATTTGTCATGTGTGCTATCCTCATCACAATAACATAATGTGTTCATTTGTTGCAGGTCTCTGTGTCAGGAAATGCATGGCTTGCTCCGAGTCTTGTGGTCGGGGAAGTGGGCGCAGGTCAGCCCCCATGGATTCCTCCACGCCATATGGAAGTACATCCCTGTATTCAAAGGTCACCTTCAGCATGATGCCCAGGAATTTTTATGGTAATTCAATTCAGTTCTTTGTTTTTAAGGTAGCAACAAAGCATGGTGTTATAATGGTAATCTGGATTTAGGCATGGTGTTTTTCTAGTAGTCTGGCTGATAGTTATAAATGAATCAGTCATTAATAAATTTGGCCTTATCTTTCATACTTTATGATGAAATAATTTCCATTACCTGTTCTTTAATTCTTTCATCTTGTTATGACCTTTTTTATAATTCTGTATAACTAGCGATAGCCCGCCAAACAATGGTGTGCACAAAGTTACTTGGCAAAACATGAATTCAAGTAATGCACTTTGATAGTGATATCCCCACCCTGTTACGCCCTGGCCCCTGAACAATAATAATGTTCTAATGTTCCATTCCTTTTTTACATCACAGATTTATTACACCAATACTTATAGCCAGCCAAACAATAGCAATGGCAATGCTTTAACTTTCCATCTACTAAATTTACTTAAAAAGCAATGCATTCAAGTAAAACACTTTATAAGAATCCAAATTAGTTGACCCCCCCCCCCCCCCCCCCCCCCCCCCCCCCCCCCCCCCCCCC